TAAGGCTAAAAAGATGTTCCTTTCAGTTTCAGTACAGAAACACAGGACATAAGACATGATTTTTCTTCAAGCTACTAGAAAATTTACGAAGACAGTAGCTATCCCAGATGCTCACTAGCAGTGACTTTGAATTTCATCACAGTCTATTTGAAATATTTGAAATATTGCCATTGAAGAAAATACTTTGAAAAAGGTTTTTGTCAAAAGTTTTGACAGTACAATATCTCCAAATTATTGCCACTTCTAGGAAGAAGTCATTGTCCTTTTCTGGATTTAGATACATCATTCATTGTCCATAAATTTTTAATTTAAAAACAATGAGAGTATATATCACCTAAATGGACTGGAGTCATGGGAACAAGGAAATCTCTTCCCAGTCTCAAGACTGGTATATTAAGGTTTCTTCCTCTTTCTTTTTTCTTGTCTTTTTTTTTGTTTGGTGTTTGGGTTGTTGTGTTTTTTTGTTGTTGCTGTTGTTGTTTTTTTTTGTTTTGTTTTGTTTTGTTTTGGGTTTTTTTTGTTTTGTTTTGTTTTGTTTGGGGGGGGTGGTTTTGTTTTTTTTTTTTCCATTTCCAGTTCTTAAGTTCAAAAGAAAATAAGAATTTAATCTTTTTCTTAAAAGTGCTGATTTTTCAGATATCTACTTATGCAACATGATTTCCATCTCCTGCTTATTCCTTTACCTTTTTACATCTTTAAGTGTATGCATTGTGAAACATTTTCCTGTTAAATCCTATCTATTTTGATTTGCTGTTCTTGAACAGTGTTTTTTCTTCTGCTGCTGTATCTGCCAAGCACTACCAGAATAACCTGAGCTTTAATTGAGACTGCCTAGGAGAAGAAGATACTTTCTAAGGTGCATGAAGAAACCATCCTGTCCCAAATAATTAAAAAAGCTAAGGCTCTTATCTCACCTGAAGTCTAGATTGGCAGATCATAAAGGAAATGGGAGTCTACTGTAAGTAAAAACAGACTACTCCCACGGGAACTTGAAAAGCAGCTGTGCTAAAAGGGAAACTAGAAGATGAGAGCTGACTGAAGGAAAACTACAGTCCAATACACACACTTTGCATAAAGTATTGAAAGAATAGCATTCCCTTTCCTTATTAAAAAAAAGGCAGAAAAGGAAAAAAAAAGAAAAAAGTGCATAATATTTTATCCTCCAGTATCTCTCTCATTCCCTGGCAAAAGAAATCCTGTCCTTGCTTCCAATGCTTCCCTGTGATGGTTAATCTATTGTCCTTCTTCCTGGCAATATTTCTAGGATCACCTGCAGCACCATGAATGGAAATTCAGAGAAAAGACCACCAGAGCTCAGCTGGAGTTAAGGTACCAGCTGTACTCCGCTTACAGGGTATTATGAAAGCAAAGAAATATATCCTTGCAGAAAGCCTGCAAGTGTAAAATTGTATGACAGGAGGTTTTTTCCTGAGCGACAGGTCCATTAGTCTTTACTCCTACAAAAGCCTCATTCATTCATTCATTCTTCAGGATGAGGGAGGAGTCAAAGCACAGACCTCTTTGCAGAACATGATTGATAAGACAACATAGCATTGAAGTGAGAACAAAGGAACGCAGCAATGCACTGTGCAGATGATGTATTTCTATTGCAACTGTCCTTGGAGTCTAGAGTATTATTAATGCAAAGAAAAATACAAGAAAATCAAACATGATATGAAAAAAACCCCAACAAAACACCAAATCAAACAAAAACCTGAAGTATGAAAACACTGCAATTAAGTAGTCAGAATAAATAGCTATAGTAATCAACTATACTCAGAATACTGATTCTGTATATGATTCCTTATTTGGAAAGAAAATTACTTAAAAAAACCCCAACAGTTTATGACAGCATTTCATTAAGTTGCCTCTCTTTTCTGAGATAGATGGCACATAAACTGTTTTCATTAGAACAGTACAAGGTGAAGAATGAGGCTAGGACTTTTCCAAAGGACCTTATTTTTGCATTCTTACTGCTAAGTAAACAAGTTGCTCTGAGTTTTTGAATCTCTCTGGGATACTGGAATAGGAATCAGAGAAAATCAGCCCCTTGGGGTGAGAGTTAGTTTAAAAATAAAAATAAATCATCAAATCTTTTTCCCATTCTACTGGATTTCAAATAATATTACATGAAGATGACTACTAGACTATTGGAGCAATGGATCTTAAAACTGACACTCACCTGGGAAAAATGACTCATAGCTAATGTCACATATATATTTTCTAATCTTCTGCTTTTCAGTGTTCTGAGACAGCTCAAAATGATAGGAAGCCTAAGAGAGCTGTAAGTCTTTCTTTCCTGTCAATCCCAAAAGGCATGTTTGTCTTCTTTCTCCCCCTGGAAATTTTTCCCAGGCACAAAAAAAACCCCAACCAAACAAACAAAAAACCCAAAAACAAACAAACAAAAAAACCCACCAACCAAACAAAAAAAAACCCCAAACAAACAAACAAACAAAAACCCCAAAAAAACCCCACCAAAAAAACCCAAAACTCCAAAAACAAACAAACAAAAGCCCCAAACTAAACCAAAACAGAAACAACAAATAATACCAAACAAACCAACAAATAAAAACAAACCAACAACAAAAAAAACCTAACCCAAATAAGAGCAAAGAGTCCCAAAACCTGCATGATCCTCCAGGATTCCTAAACACAAGCTAATCAGTAAGGCAATGAAGAAAGCCTGGCCTACCTGATAGCTAAAAGTCACTAATCAGTCAAACAGGCGCTCTGCATTTTCAGATGAAATGCAGAGATATTGCTGTTTCTAGGCTTACAGTGAGAGGGGAGTTTTTGCTGGACAACAACTACGACCTATGAACCATGGTTCCCATCACTTCCACAATGAAACTAGAAGCTGTCAAAATTCTTCAGAGGACTTGCATTGGTAAGATATTTTTATCATGTATTTTCAAAAAATCTTCCATTTCTTTTACTGTGAATATTGTATCAGGACTATGTGTCTCCCAAAAAGGTATTTATGAGCACACCGAAGTACATAAGTTATTAAATTTGCAGAAAAAATTTCCAATGGCAACTCTTAAACCTGCGTGATATAGATAGCAAACTTTGTTATTATAAAAGTTCAAAGTTCTAAGATACATAAAAGCACAGTTTTAGGCATAGCACCAATTTACTTTCCCTAGATTTTTTTCATTAAAATATATTGAAATTCATTAATACAAGCAATAGCTTTTGAAAATTTTTCTACAAAACTCAACCTCAAAAGTCATATAAAGAAATAAGTGCCATTTTGCACTATGAGAATTGTTTAAGTTAAAGGAGAATGAGACAAGCAGAAGTTCATTCACTTTTATACAAGGAGTGGAACTGCTCCAAAAGAGTTACCCAAAATTAAACTGACATCCTGACTTCAATGTACACACACCTGTAGATTTACCCGAGTGCTTGAAGCAATAGCTCCAAAACCACTAAACATTATATGTGGTGCTGGTCTCCAACCAACATAAAACACCTGACACATAAAATCACCTTCATTTACCCCCACCCTCAGCTGTGACTGATGATGCACCTGAACTGCACAAACAGAGGACTCCCACCAGTGCTCCTTTGAGCTAAATGTGTGAAGAGGGCAAATATGAGCTGTGCAGTACCACAGTTTTTGCTAAAGTAAGAATCTAGGGCCTGTGTCACAAGAAAGAAGTGTCTTGAACCTATTGCACAACTGAGGGCTTTCACAGTGCCATACACAGCTCTTGCTTCAACTGGCTCTGGCACAGCAGAAGTATTGCACCAATGGAATAGTCACAACACCATATTTATACTCCTAAAATGCTAAATTAAGGTTTTGTTGCAGACTCCAAATACCACAAAGGCTACAAATACTGCTACATAAAAAGCTCTGAATTTTACTTGGAAGATCGCAGGTGAGATGTGGAAAGAACAGGAACTAGATAAAGCCTCTCATCATTCCCAAATTCAGTGCAACATTGAAATAAACAGTCCTGCACTTCTTGTCCTCTATCATCTTTTGTATGCCAGAAATATCCTATCTGTGTATCTGTGCATCTTCTTTTGTGCATCATTGTTTGCTGAAGAGCTGTCTCAAACTTCATGTAACTTTGGCTTAGAGAGATCTACCAGGAAAACTGAGGCTGCTTGGAAACAAAACCTGTCACAACATCAAACACAGAATATGTCTATAGAAAATCACTTCTTTGACAGTCTTGTGCAGAGATGCAGTTAGACTTAGCTTTAAATTAGCATTCCCAGATAATGGCAGTGATTAAGTCACATCACCTTAGAGCTTTGCAATGGCCAGATTGTAGTTGTGAAGAATAACTTTAAAGGGTATATTTAGTCTTTATTTGGTAAATTTTAGGTGTGTCAAATGCTCTGCAGTCATATATTTGACTATGGGGAATGTACTGCTTAAGTAAATTGAACATGTTAAAATCAACAATTCCAAAAGACATTTAAAACTTTTTGAGAAACACCAATTCTGCTCTTGGAATGGCACATTTAAGATCTGCTTTTAAATGCTGCCACTGTATCATCACAGATACAAACTGAAGATTAGGTTTTATGTACACTGGTATCCACAGAACTGGTGGATAGCTGGAGTAGTTCTTAACCTCTTATATCACTGCTAAAGAATATTCCACATTTTCCCTAAACCTAAATAAGATTGACATGCTAAAAAATGTAAAACTAAAGTAGTTTAGGTAAATATTCACAAGTACAATATTTGAATAATCATGAAGTTTCCTAATAAGAATTCAATGTTTTTCAAGCAAAACATGTTTTCATACTGCATTACATTCAGATACTTTTCTGCCTTGGATTCAAAGAGATCGATCAACCGAATATATTTCAAAAGTAATGTTAACCAAGGAAAGAAAACCATGTGACTTTAGGAACAGGGGAATATGAAAGTAGTTCTGTTAGCTGAAAATTCATGCCACTTACGTATATTCGTATATTGTTTAAATATATGTTTATATACGTATATTGTTTAAAATTAAATCCTCTCTTACCATCATGATTGGGATTTCCCAAAGTCCATGGCTCATCTGAGTCAAAATGAGTGTCTCCCCCAATTCCTGGGCCAGGAAAATATGCATGAGCTAAAAATCCTCCCTCCCCATCAAAGGGAGAACTGTCTCCATGAAAACCTGATGCAAAAATGATAGTAATATCCACATCTCTCTTGCCGTTTTCTAATTCAATATAAGGAACTTCTTCAAATGTTAGAGGAGTTACATTCTGCCACACATCGAAGGCACGGCGAATGGCTTTACGGGTTTCAGCATCACCTACTTTTGGAGTGACGTTCTTTATGCTGAAAGAAAGAGAAAAACATTACATAGATTAAATTCAACACAGCGGTGACACTGCTTATAACCATCTCCCCCTAATTATTATAAGCTCTGTGCTTTTAATAAAACACATTAGTTCTGGCATTATATACTTTAAGAAGAGTATTTTTAAACAAGCTGGTGCAGAATTATGGTGTCAATCTGTATAGCCCTTTAAGCTAGAACTTATTATGTTAGTGAGCTTACTCCCAGCAGTACAAAAAAACCTCTTATATTTAGAAGATTAAAAATATATTAAATTGAAAAATTCTTAACAGTGGGATAACCAGATTAATCAACCACTGACTGTTTACCTCCTGGACCACAATTAGAATCCATCACAGCTAAAGAATGTCATGTTCTTTCTGATCAAAAGAAAAATGTTTTCAGTTAAATGAAATTTTTACTTATTAGTGAGTTCATTAACAAAAGCAGAACTCCATACTGTGACCACCAACCAGTATTCACAAAGCCTTATTGCTTTTGCAACTGGATAAATTCCTTATCAGAAACAAAGCCTTTTGACTTCAGTACAGGCTAAGATGTCCTTTTATGATCTGATTACATCTGCAAATCTTGCATAAAACTGTAGAATCCATCAGAGAAATCATTTTATAGAAGAGCTAACTCAAGACTATGTATTTAAACAGATATTTCAGTCCCCACTACTTCTTCAAGTGACATACACATGAAAAAAGCAAAAAACCCATCAGAATTGAAGTTTACTCTCATAGCTAATAAATTATAGTGAAATCACCTTTAAAAACATCTTTATTTTCATTATTCAATTCAAGAAAATAATGCCAATAATAAATTTCAGACCTATCCAATTTTCTGCATCATTTCAACTCAATTCATATGGGCAGCAAAAACTGTTAGGTTTGTGTTTGCTCTGAAACTGCTGCAATCAGATTCTCTTTGTTCACTTGACATGCGCACGACTGAACGACTGCACAAATTTCAGAAATGTACAGTACATGTAATATTTTTGTCAGTTTACACAGCATGGCACATTAAAGGAGAACAAATATACTTCCATGAATAAACCTCAAATGATTGATTTGTTTGGTACATTAAATGTGCTTGATTATATGGTATTTATGTTTATATAAATGGAAATAAATCTTTCGAGTGTAATTTTATAGATTTTACTTCATATATACATTTTTTTCATAGCTTCATGTAGAAAACATAAAGCTACCTCTTTGGACTTCCACCCAAAAAGATTTTATTGTATTGAGTCCAATAGTCCTGTCTAACCAAAGCATAATTTTCTAGCTGGTATATATGTTCCAAAGAGATATCAACACGGGCTGTAAGATACTACAATGTAGAGAATACACTGCTTCCCTTGATGTTTTATTCCAAAGGTGATTTAACCAATCAATTCTTCAATACTTGTGCCTATTCTATTATTTCCCTGACTTGTATTATGGTTCTTGTTCTGCCTTTCTCTCTAACATGCATGAGCTTCAAAAATTTTCCCCCTATACAAAGACATTTAAAAGACATTTCTGCACTGCTAAGTCATTACCTTCTTGTTGTCTCTAAGAAATAAAAATTTTTGAACTCTTTAAATCTCTGGCTATAAGACGTTTTCTCCAGTCTATCAAATATTTTCTATGGTTTTTATTCAATTCAACCCAATTTTAAAATTTTCTTTTTAAACTGGCTCTTTCAAACTATAAAGTACTGCAGTACTGATCTTGCTGTCAGAGAGAAAATGTCCTCTGATATGTAGGCATGACATTACATCATGTAAATGTCATGTGACATTAAAGTGCTTTCTATGATGCCCTTTCATAATTATTTGCTCAGTAGTAATTTTATGATCAATGTTGCATTGCTTTTTCTGTGATTAAAAAAATATTGGACACACTGGACCAAAACTCAGCCCTTGCAGAACCCCTCTCTGAAAGCTCCCGCCTTTGAGAATTAGGTTTTTTGAGATGTTTTAATTAGCAAATTCATAAACTACTATCTGTGGCCCCTGAGAAAGTACAGCGTTTTGGAACCTGTCCTGTGACACGAAATAAAAAAAAAAAAACCACATCACATTGGCACACTTATACTGCCACTACCAAAAACTTCACTGTTGCTATGTTAACAATACAAAGTTGGCAGATGTGCCCTTAGTCAGTCCTGCTGTGTGCTCCCTAAGGCACGTGTATGGCCTCAAGCAGAGCTCTTTGAAGGATTAGAGCCTCTGTTATTTGCCATGTATAAGGAATATGGCAAATGAATCAACAGGCTCTCATAGAAAACAGAGCATGTCTAGAAAAACTGAAATATTGATATAGAAAAAGTTCATCTGAAATATGCGGCTTTTTGTTTTGTTTTGTTTTGTTATCGGGTTTTTGGTTTTTTGTTTGTTTTTTAGTTAGTAATTGGTCAAAGTCCCACTTTGGTCTTAAGTAAACAGAACAAAAGAAGAGTCTTCTGCTAGTTTATGTGAAATGAAGAAATGGATAAAAAATGGATTGGAATTTTGTATTGATATTAAATTGAGTAATTAATTGGTCTAAAAGGGTTTGACTCCAACGTTAAAACTTATCATTTTACATTGTCTTGCTGTTTCAGCACATTGAGTTAAATTTTAATCAGATTACAAATGAGAAATTGAGTGATTGAGCCATCTAGTTTCACACTAGACTACCTTTGATAGCAGGCATTTTCCATGGGATTCAGCTGTTGACTTACTTTTGTAATAGAATCCTACATCTCCAGATTCATTGTAAAGTAATATTTTTTCAAAGCATAGTTTCTGTACTAAAACCAGAGAGATTTCTGGCTTCCAAACCAACATTCTGGAGTGGGCAAGATTATATTGAAAAGTGTTGCTTGAAAGAGAAAATACAAAAACCAGCAGTTATTCTTATACAAGAGTATTTGCAGAAAACAACTGCCCATTTTTAATGCGCTAAACAAAATTCGGGTTCAATCCTAAAATACCAGCACTGTGCAACACAAACATTGAAATCGTCTTTCTGGGAACTTTGCTTAAAATAATTCACCAATGCAGATATCTGAAACCCAAGTTATGTTACATTTCTTTCCTGCTGTTTATCATACAAAGTCCAAGGGGTAAGTAAAGTAAAATCAATCCATAAAGACAGTCTATCAATTACCAGAGATACTAGGACTCATCTTTTAAAAGTCTTGTTTATACCTATGATTGCAATAGCAAATAAAGTCTTAGTTGAGCCCTTTCCTATTACATTTAGATCTACATCTTAAATCCAGCAATCACCTGAAATAGTGGTAACTCTCACAGACAGTAAAAACAATAGAGGAATTTGATATCTTACACTCCACATGTCCAGATAATGGAGCTCAAATAGAAGTAAGTGCAGGACGTGACAACTCAGAACCACTCTTACTGCAAGGTGAAAAGCATAGCAAGACAAAAGCCTTCATAATTAAAATCCATCTTTTTTTCTAAGTTTTGCTTTCCTAGTCTTAAAGCCCAGCGATCATTTCACAGCAAAGAAGTTCAAATGAGAGAAAGATGCAAAGCTGACCTTGACCAGACTGGCAGTGCAACTTTATAGAGTTTGATGATCTTGTAATTACTAACCAAAAGGCAATCTATAGGATGAAACATTTATTTTCATGACATTTTTTACAAACTAATAAACTGAGTGATACTTTTAATAAATTTTGAGAGCTGTTATTTTTAGGCAACTACAACCATGAATCACTTTATTATGTTTTTTGTGGTTATTATTGCTGGTTTTGTATGATTTTCAACCTGATAGTTGCTTCAAGCACTATAACTTTAAAAGACATGTCTTCCACAAGAACAATTAGATTTTATCACTGATCTGCACTTTTCACGTTGATTTACTATTTCTACAGCTGCCTGAAGAGTCCTGTTTTGAGAGCGTTATCCTAGAATCCTTAGTCCTATTGATTTCAGAAAAGCTTTGGGTTTTCCTTCCCTTCCCACTCATTTCCCAAAATATCTTAAAAGAAAAATTATCCATGTTTCACTGACATATTTTTGGCTGCATCAGCTTCAGGAGCCTTGCAAGATTGTCATGATATACCTCACTTGACTGTATAAAATCAGCAATCTGAAATTTAAATAGATGAAAGAGCAGGAATTTCAACTGAGTAGGTAAAAAGATGCAGTCAATAATCTGTTTGAAGTCATCTAGTTACAGATCTGTGCTTGATATTAAACTGTTCAAGTAAAATGAAATGAAACATACATTAGATTTGAATAAGTTGTTGACACAACCTTTGAATTGTCATTGGTGTAAATCAAACCTAAACTGAAGCAACATTTTTGGAGTTTGTTGTTTTGGTGGTTTTGCTTGTTTGTTTTATGTTGGGTTTTCTGGTTGGTTGGTTGGTTGGTTGGTTAGCTGGTTGGTTGGTTTTTAATCACACTGTAACTTTTATTGAAAGTAATAAATTACCTCTGGCAAAAACATATTTCACTTTGGGCCATTATTTCCCTAGAAATTGCTTTCTATGAAGTTGCTTCACTGATCTCTTGCTGATGTGAGGCTTTTTTAGCTTCAACTTCTTTCCAGTTTCAGTTTGCTGACTCTTTGTAGCTATAGACTAAGAGTGCTATCCTGGTTCATACAGCTCTTGCTCACATTGATTAAACCTAAACTGTTACTTTTGATTTTCTGTGGATTTGATTTTCAACCTACTGCTGCCATGATTGAAAGAATTTATAATTAAATTGCCTCTTCATTTTCATGGGTAACATTCTCCTCAACATTCATTAAAAGAAGATGATATGTAAAAGAAATGGGATTTCCGAGACAAAATCCCAAGAGTAGCAAAATACTTGACATATTCTGCACAATATGGACCATTCAGACTATTGAAATTGCATAGTCTATTGCTAACAAGCCAGACAAGACTTTTCATTGCATTACTGAAGCTCCCAGCTTGCATTAATTCATTTATCTGAACAGCATAAAGTTAGACCTGTTCAAACCTTTCATCTTCTTTCAGAAATGAAATCTAAGATATATCTAACTTGTAAACGGAAAATGTCAATTATCTGGGGTTTGACCCATTGTCCACTGAATTCAAGAAAAAGATTAAATTATTTATAGCGGGTTTGAGATGAAGATATTGACTATCTACAGCTAAGTTTCCTACACCAATTAAATTATTACATATTGCTGATCGATTGAATTTAGCTTTTTCCTTTCTTAAGAAAGAAAAAATAAATCAGAATAGCTTTTAAATTATTATTTGATTTTCAATCATTACAAGTTCTAAGTCATGGTTATAATTCAAGGTAAAGCTTTTATTTTTATAGAACATTCTCCAATCTTACTTGCAAAAGTATTTTGCAGATAGAATAATCTGGGCAATTGAGAAATGACTGACTGCAGGAGTTCAGATTATGAATAGTATGCACAGAATTCTTGATGAGAAGGGGCTTCATTGATTCACTGTCTAAAATGGACATATAAACATTTATGATCTGTTTTTACAAAACTAATAGCTTTATTGATTCACATTGCTCCTTCTTTAAAGCACTGGATTATTTCCCTAGCAAAAGAGAAGGTGACTACATTTTTGAGAATCATAAATACCTCCTTGAAAAGTTTTTAAAATTTTAAATAATTTTTTAAAATCTCTTCATAGCTTTCTTAAATTTCTTCTCTGATTCTATACAATGTAACTTGACAAAGCCAAAAACAGTAGGGAAAGATTAAGACTATATTATTAAGATCTCTGTAGCTTTTTCGGTAATGGAGTGGTAATTCTCTTGTATTCTAGATGTTTTCTTTCACCCCTATACTCTTTTGACTGATAGAAAGTTTCAAATACTTTCTGTTTCTCTCCTTGTAAAAGGCATGTTAGTCTATAACACACATACTAATGACGTTCACAAAGTTTATCAGCATGAACTATACCAGGCAGAAAAATATTGTAAACTAGGTAATTTCATCGGAAACAGAAATTCTAAGAAACATCACACATCAGTTCAAGTGAGAAGAAAGGTTCATTCCCAGAGAGAGAGTAAGCATAATTAATGCCACACATTGTCCATTCCATGCTGATGTTCCTAATACTGGAAATCTGTATTTTGGTCCTATCTGTAAACACAATGCTTTCTAAGAATAAATATCACCTAAGACTAAAATTTAATCTGTTTCCAAATGGACATAATAAATATTCAAAATGTAATATGGGGATAAAACCATTAATGCAAATTCTAATTATAATTGTAATTTTAAGTCACTTTGAAACTCCATCTTGAAATTTTGCATAACTGTTTCAGGTGGAAAAATTACATGTTAAAAATGTGGAAAAGTTCCAGGGCAAGGAGGGGTGGGGAGCTTGCTTTCAGGAGTCTTTGCTGTGGGGTTTTGGTTTTGGTTTCCAGAAAATTGTAAGATGTAGCACACACTGAAATGAAGGAGAAATTGCTGTTTCTGGGGAGGAATTACTAAACTGGTTTAGCAGGCACACTTCAGACTGGCCAGGAAGGCACAGAATGCATCTGTAAGTCCACACATTACAAAGAGACTGAGGAGTGGCACAGAGAAAAATGGAGCAGATAAATGATACTAGAGATATGATTCAAATTTTAGGAACAAAGCAGGTTAAAATGTCATTCATTTAAGATGCCATAAGCCTGTAAGCAGGGAATTGGTGAAAGGTCTGAAAAGAATATTAGTTCTTTTTTTTGGTCTTTATTTGTTTTGGGATATTTTCTAATTCAAAAAGATAATATCTTTTTTATTCTGATAAAACTTAGGGTTTCTCTTTTAAATGTCTTTTGTACTGTAATTCACGGCAAAAATATTACAGACTTATTCACTTCAAAGCTCTGTTTGATTGGAGTTCTTGTCAAAGTGAGAGAGAGAACATTTTCAAAGAGGGGAGGCAGGAGATAAAAAACTGCTATAAATTCTTCAAAGTGAGAAAGATTACTAGATAGTTGTCACTTAGTTTAATACTGAACACCTTCATATGTTATTTGGATTAATGCCTTGGGTGACAGTCCAGAAGATATACAAGTGGTAGGATTTAGACTGTTGCAAAAAATTCTGTAATGAAATCGGGAATCAGACTCCTTACAAATCAGAGTGGTAGAAAACCACACATAAGAGTAGATGACTATGCATGCCTCCTAAGTGTGCACACACTGCATTTAAATTCTAAAATGCAGCTAGATGTAAAGTGCTGTAGGTGGGCATTCTTATTCTAACCAACTATAAATTACATTTACATTAACAATAAAGGACTTCAGCCAATACAACATACCAACCCCAAGGCAGTCAGTTGTCTATTGCTTAATGTTATATGCAATATCTCAAACTAGAATTCTCTAATTCAGTCATAAATCACAGTAGTGACATAGGGTTACTAATGAAACTATATCTTCACCAGGGTACGAGGAACAGTCTGTATGACCATTAGGGCTTATGAACTTTAATACTTATATGGATTAATGAATAATGGCACAAGTTAATGAATCTGAAAACTATTTTATCCCTCAGAACTTACTCCTATTAGATATCACAGGAATCCATGATGGGACTATGTAAATTTTCAAACAGTCTGTACTGGAATCCTTGGTTTGCTGACAGATTATGGATTTTATATTATATACATGACACTTTCTCTGGTTGACAGAGCTCTAGTGAGAACATCTTGAAAGTTTCCATCTAACTTTCCCTGCAAGACCTCAGTTTTGACAGCAGGCACACTGTGCTAACTACATGCCAGACTCAGGGGTGATATCAATGTACTGCCCTGCACACACTCTTCCCATGTCCATCATCACCTAGACAGGAAATGGTCGTGTCAGCAACTCAACAAATTATAATCAAATTAATTTGTATTTAGAATAAACCCATGGACACCTACATTTTGCAGAGATTGACTCCTTTCAATAACCTATTTTACATATTTAAATTAGAAATCTGAGTTTCATTGCAGCACTCCTAGATTCAGGGCATTATTCCCTGAAAAACTGCCAAGAAAGTTGAAAGGTAACCTTAAGGACATACTGGGTGTTAAACTGATGCTGTAAGCTTCAGAGAATTTATTGGCTACTAAATATATGCAATTTTAATACAAGAAAACAACTTGGTTCTTATGCAGCAGATACATACTTATAGGACGTATCCATAGTAGCACTTCTATATCATACATTAATAATAAACTTCTCAAAATATTGAAAAAAAACCCAGGAAATTATATTTACTTTAAATGAAAAGTCATCGTTATTAGTGACATTTGAATAGCTATACGAAAATCTTTAGTACCTGTAAGTGATATGTTTGTGTTGCCATTTCTGTCCCGTTAACGCGTAGCGTTTCCGACGAACGTTAAATTTGGAGCTACCTCTCGTTTGGTCAGGCACACCACATCGAGGTTTCTTCATCCAGCTGCAAGAAACAGCACCACACAGTTAAAGCAACATGAAAGAAAAATCATAACCACTGCATCCCTAATACAAACATTTAATTATCTGAATATAAAATTTTATAGAACATATAAGCTAATAAAAACAACAGACACTTGGTGTTCTTTTAGTTCAAGATATGGAAATTGCTGACTTTCTGATACTGTCAAGTTCTCTATCTTACACTTCCACACAATGAGAAGTATCTCATTGCAACTGTAAGCTTCTAATAGAGATGTTTAACTCAGGAATTATTGCTTAAGAATATTTAATCAAGCTGAAAAATCTAAATCACATACAATAAAAATTACCATTGCAGAAGCACCAGATTTCTCAGAGAAGGACTGTATTTCTACAGTGCTCTTCAATATTTCATTGTTTTCCAATATTTCAAAAACTTTAAACTTGCCAGCATTCAAAGTATATTATAATTATGATATCTAATTCAAAAGTATAATTTCCACAGCAATATCCTTAAACTGCTTCCCACTTGTAAGGCACTATTTAGTTCAAAGAAAACAGCTAAAGTTATAATTTTATATGAGTTGAATGTCTCTTCTTACCATCAAGAAGAGAGTAAGATTAAAATCTATTACTTATAAGTAAAAAATCTCGTATGTTACTTTTTCATCTCATTGGATTATATTTCTATGCCAAACAATTACTTATGCAAAAACTACAGTTTGTCAATGGCATTTACCAGAAAAATAGTAATACCCTATATTCTGGCTTTCATGGATGAATTTCTGACCATTAAACTGGCATTATTTTGTAAATAAATGTACACATAGCAGTTGTATATATGTATGATTGGATGACAGAAAAGTAATTTGAAATGTCATCTAAGGAAGTAGATTCCCTTTAAAACATGTACAGGTCATAAAAGGCTCCGAAAAAGCAAATAGTCAATCATCAGCCTCACTTATTTTGATAAATGGGCAAGAAGCAGTTTAAAAGTAACTTAGACTTGTAACACTTCTTATATGCTGTAGCTATGGATATATAGCAAACTGTTTTTCAAAGGCACAAGTAGATGTTAAGCTCACCAGCCTGTGGGAAAGTACTAAACTTTCTTGATAGTACCAAGATGGCACTACACTCCAGTTGCTCTGATAAGCAGAAATGTCTGTAAAATCTCTGATGTGAGACAAATCTATTGAATAGTACAGGTCAGGAACCCAAAACTCATGAATTTAACTGCCTTAACTGAAGACATCAAGTTTACAATCGCCTGTTTCAAATAAGAAACATAGAATGATTTGCTCTAATTTCAGAAATTGCTCTAATAGTTAAAATACTTTTGAGTGGCACATATGCAAGGAAAGCAGTGTTCTTTCCCTAGTGCCTGCAAAGACCATACTGCAAAAATCTAAAAAAACCTTACCCCACCAGCATTTGCTGAAACACCCTGCAACTTTACTCCAGGTTCCTTTGGTTTTTGAAATAAAATCACAATTCAACAAAGTAGACATTAGGGATTTTTGGGACGAAATATTACTGAAAAGATTAATTTGCTCTAAAAATGAAAGAAAATGAAGGAAAGAAGTAGATCTCTGTTACAGACCAAAGGCCAATAATATTCTTCTTAGTAAAATGATATATCTACACTTCATGAGATTGAAATTGACTCAGACCTTCAAAACCTTCTAGACACATTGTCACTAATACATTTTCACAGTGCATGTCAGATCAGTATGCAGCGCTTCAATGGCAAGGTATATATAGATTATGTTGTTGAAACTGCACATGCACATTCCAGAAAAAGATGTAAACATAACAAAAGATTTCTGTTCTCACCTTAAGGTGATATCCCTACATCAAAAGCAAGAAGAAAGGAATAAAGCAAAACCAAATAACGATTATATTTTGTTAGAAACATTTACAAAGCTATTGCATAAAATATATATCACTGATAGTTGTATCATTTCAAGGGCAATGACTTAAAAGTCATTGAATTAGGGCTTTCTCCTCTCCAAAAGGTTTACATTATTTAGTTTAAATGATGGAGACCTATTTTAGTAACCATTTGCTCACTGGTCAGCTGAGATAAGCTGAGATACTGGTAAACTGAGATACTGGCAGATAAGAATAAATATTCTAAGTTCTGAATTTAAAAATTAGTCTTCAAAGCTATTGAAATAATTTCTCCAGTCAAACTGAATCCATAAGATTCAATAATCTTATGGAAAATCTTGTTAATGTAAAAAAATTTTCACACTTTAGAATGAATACCAAAAGTCAAGAACAGTAGGTAACACGGATTCAAAAGTCAACATTGTATTATCTTACTAGAACTACTGACAATCCTTTTTTAACAAAATAGAATGTAGCCCAAAATAACATGTTATGAAATTCAAGCAGTCACAATTTGTTCTTGGATTGTTTTTGAAGTAGCATGTACCTATCAAGGACATTATGTTTGTACCCTTATTGGTTTGGACAGGGAGGGGATGTTCCAAGTTGTCATGCTGTCTGGACCACTAGTGTTCTTATTGTTCTTACACGAGGTCTGGGACTGTAGTTCACACAATATAAATCCAAATATAAATCAAATGGAAGTCATTGCATGGGCAGTTCAGTAGCTTTCAGGAAATTATCTTCATGAAAAATTTAAGGAAAGCTGCAATTCACAGACGAAGATTTGGAACTTCACCAAATCTATCACCTAGATCTTAGCTGAGCTAAGTTTAGATGTCGAATTTGAAACAAACTAGTGCATGACTAGTATGGGAGCTCAGTATTTTCTAGCACAGAAATGAGGTAAAAATATTAATATTTTCAGATACATAAATGTTCCTTTTATTTCTTTAATTCTTTTTTTCTACGGTAATTGTTCTCACACTCACTGGGAGGAAGACTTCTCTTAGTAATAATCATTAATGCTCATGACATTTCAGATACTTAGCACATAATATGGCCTTCCCTTGGGGGAATTGACAAATAAAACATTGATTTCTGTGTTCTTCCAAATATAGATTCTTCTAACGTAATATAATCAAGGTCTTCCATGTTCCTGATTGTTAGTTTGATTTTTTTGACATGTTTTTGAAATGTTTTGAAATATGCTTCATTTTTAAAAGGTGCATACATATAATGACTTTGCCTCTCTTTTATCACTTTGTTTTTGAACTTGTAGAAATCTTATGTGCAGCAGCCCTTCAAAATTAATATTTTATAAGTACTCAATAAAGAGGCTTAATTGTGACTAATGTTCTCTATCTGTACACTATGTCACATCACATTCTTCTTCTAACTCCATTAGTTTGAATCTTGAAGAGCTATATATGTCAGGAAAATTTAAATATTTTAGACTCATAGCAAATTTAGAAAGATTAAAAGAAAAATATGCAGAAAAATATGCAGCTATTCCAGTAGAGAGATGAAATTGAACTTCTACCTCAAGCCAGTTGCCTAACCATATTTTTTTCTTTGGTGTCTAGGAGGAAAAATGTCCTTCTGTCTCTTATTTTTCTTGAGCCTTCAGGAAAAAAAAATACCCTCACAGAATGAAAATATTAAAAACATACTTCTGGTTGAAGGCCACAACTGCTTTATCCCTTATCAAAATTGCGGGTAAGGTTACAGAATTGTTTTGTTGTTGTGGCTTTGGGGGTTATTTGGGACAGAGTTATAGCAAAAAAGAAAACTAAACAAGAAGGTTCAACTTGACTTACTGCAACTTAACTTAGTGGCTGGACAAACTGTAGATGCCTATTTAAGAAAACTACTAAATTATATCCTTAAACTTCTAGTGAGGAGAAATAGATATGTCTTTCTATGCATCTTTGTTTACTGTAGCCTGCTATTACAGGATTTTATTGACACTTGCTAAGTAATAGGAAGAGTGGTGTAAGATATGGTATTTCAGCCCTGATGATTTTTTTTCAAGACTTCTCATTGAATACTTGATGGGGGTGCAGACCTTATGTATACTTTTGTACAAAAAAATGTACTAATTTACTAAAAAAATAAACCATTAGGATCAATTTCAACAGCTCAGAATTTACTTCGCGACTGAAAGTTAATATATAAACTGCAGAGAGCATAAACTCCATTAGAAGCTCATCTAAGCATTGAAATAAGCATATATATAATTTATTTCTAAAGGATGACATTAGAATAAAATGAAAGTTTTGTTATTATTGCACAGATTTAGTCAGCATCCTATACATGACCATTCCATCTGTATATTAAGAAGTTTGCACTCTACTCCTCAAAAGTGCAAAACAAGTTTTGGGAATAAATATGTACAGGAGTTTTAAGAAAAGACAACAATTAGTCTTTCTACAATGTTTCTTTTAGGGATGCAGAAGACCAGGAATGCCACCAGTGGGTCCAGTTTCAGAAATGTCCTTTTTCATGAATCATTGACTATGTTTGCTAATATATAAATGAAATACAGAAAGTACTGTGGCAGTCCATGCAAATGTCAGAGAGTATTTTCATTGGGTTAGCCATCGTCCTGGTACTTGTATTCAGAACCTCCCTCACATTTTTACACCATTATAAGGATGTCTCTTCCTATCACTCAGTTTTCTTTATCCCCAGAAATAGTATGCACCATTTTTTTCAAGACACTTAAGAAAAAAAAAGCATAAACAACTGAATGCTGAGTAGTAGGGAGAAGATGAATACTGTTCATATTTATGCATACCAAAATACTCATTGAGGGATTATCTTTTTTCAGAGCAGCAAAAACCCCTCAGGAGACATTTGATGGTGCTGCTGTTGTAGGGCATTATTTCTTTGTTAATATCCCCAAAGTTGGTTCCTATCAAATTGCTACTATAACTTTTTAAATTGTTTGTCCTTCTGAAGACAAAAAGCCACATCATAATCTCTTCTCAAGATGTGTCAAGGAAGGCAGGTAAATCCTCATGCACAAGATCAGAACATATTTTTTGAGGTCCCTGCTTTATTTATTATTGGCAACACCAGCATTGCTAGTTATTACAGCATATTAATCCCAGAGAAACAAATTATAAACTGTCACATATTTCTGACCTAAAGAGTATATATACTTTCTGTGAGATGAAAGGGAAAATAATTTCCAAATGTCACAATAAAACACTGAAAAACAATCTACCCTTTATAGTCATATCTCCCATGAATATTCAGTGATGTGAACTGATGGTACCCTGAGGCCAGAATTTAGTTAAAAATGAGGTTTTTGTTGTTTCGTTTTTCCAAAACCAATATAAGTGTGACAAGCCTTTAAGAATCAGTTCTGTTCCTAACTTGACTTAAGGTAAGGTGACTCCAAATATCTAAATAAATGCAGCATTCATCCAGCATGAGTTACATGTACCTAAGAGTTGCAATATATTAATGTATCTTTCTGTTCAGAAGAAAATCACACATCAAAAGATATCGAAGACTCAATATTCATCACCTTGTAAGATTAATATTTTGGATTATTGCATAGATGGATTTCTTCATCTCTTAAATTGCAGAAGTGAAGAAAGTCTTGCTGGCCAAAATGTCAAATTAGCAACATTAACCACCTCCATTTGAGTTTGGAATTTGGGGTTGGTTTGTTTTATTTCAATTCTCCAGCTGATACTCTAAACTAAGAGATGGCCTCTGCTTTCCCTTAGGTTAGCCCTTTCTGTCTTTTCTGAGCTGCTGTGAACAGACTATTTTACTTTTAGTGAAATATATTGTCTCTCACAAAGCTGCTACTAACGTGTCTTGAAAAGGGTACTAGTTACTGGCAGCACTCTCTCCTCAAAGATCAATCAATGAGGCTGAATGAAGAGCACACTCTTCACCCTGCAGAATGGACCATAAACATACTTTTGAACACGGCTCTCTCACAAGGCATTTACTGCTATTGCACTGCATGGCCTAAGATCCTTTCAAGTCCTAAACTGTGTGATCAACTCACCTCCCCTGAGGGCAGCCACAATATCTGCTTTGTTTTATTGCTTTTCAATGCAATAGAGTATGTGTCAGTGGAATAAAATGATTTTTCCAATCCTGCCAGCATTTTGTGTAGTCTCTTCCCTAAACTCTAAATGATAGAAAAATCATTAATGTCAGCTACTTTAGCATAAAAGAATAACAAAAGATGACACATCAGGTTGGGGGTGGTAAATGGGAAATGAAGGAGGATTTTTCCCCCCCAAATAAGCATTTTAGAGCAATAGAAGCATATTTCACTGAATCAAATGTTGGATATGCAGTGACAGCACTATTGAGTTATTGCTCGCTTTTCAAGCGAAGTAACTTTTTCTGAAATCACAGGATAATCTTTATCACAGTTGAACTGAAATGAGTCCAACCAGCACTTCAAATCAGGGAATAGTTTAAGTTGGAAAAGACCTCTACAATCATTGATTCCAACCATTATCATGGCACTGCCAAACCCACCATAAAACCATGTCCCTAAGTGTCATATCTACACTTCCCTGGGCAGCCTGTTCCAATGCTTGACAATGCTTTAAGTGAAGAACTGTTTCCTAATATCCATCTAAACCTCCCCTGGTGCAACTTGAGCCTTGTCCTGTCACTTACTACCTGGGACAAGGGGCCGACCCCTGCCTGGCTACAACCTCCTTTCAGTTGTAGAGAGTGATAAAGTCCCCACGAGCCTCCTTTTTTCGGGTTAAACAGCCACCATTCCCACAGCTGCTCCTCATAGGACTCATGGTCCAGACCCTTCTCCAGCTCTGCTGCCCTTCCCTGAACACACTCCAGCTCCTTAATGTTCTTCTTGCAGTGAAGGGCCCAAAATGGAACATGGGATTTGAGGAGTATATGAAGTACAGGGGCATAATCACTGCCCTGGTCCTGCTGTGTTAATCCCAGATACGTTCTCTTAATTGTGTATTAATAGTTCCTGTTTTATTTTTGTGCATGTTTTTAGAATTTGGCATAGTATAGAGTTCTTTGAAAGTGTCCTTTACTAGCTCTGTTCTACAGAGTTTCTCTGTGTCCATTCTGCCACCAAAATCACACAGTGAGAGCCTGAAACAACTTCAGAATCACAAAGGGCATGCAAACTAATTCAATTTTACTGCATGCTAAAATGACCATACCTGGCCTTTTGTTACTGGAAACCACTAAACAAATAGGCCAGTGGAGTCTGCCAAATTTAATAAATAAGAATAAAGAAAATTTAAAGATTTTCCAGTAAAAAAGACTCCTTCAACTGTGAAACATTTCATGGATTCTTGCCAGTTTCCAAAATGTTTCTTCTCTTCCACAATGATAACCTTTTGTACCTTCCTTTAGGTAACCCTGTAACATCTTGTTTACAATCACTTGCCCAGAGGCGGAAGGCAGTTAGGCAGGTGATGACCTGCTACCATGAAATACAGAAGATGAAGAAAATGAAAAGGCAAGGAAAGAGAGAAACAATTTACCTCCCCATCTGAAGCTGCAACACTATTTGGATACTCCAGTTGCACTGCTGCTTCCCAGTTCTATTTTACCCTGCTAGAAACAGAAAAGTCAAGAGCAGTTCAGTACTGGTTACTTACTCAATTGTGTTCCTGTCCACTTTTCCTGTCATATTAATGCCATAGAACTGCTGCATGGCAGCTATAGCTGATTGCATGGTTTCTGCAGAGCGCAACACCGACATTCGGGGGTCAGTTGGTGGAAGGTAGCCATACTTTTGTAACCATACCTGCAATGACAAGTGCAGTGGCTATTAAATAGAAATTAGAGGTAAATAAAATGCTCCCTAGTAATTAGTTTTATACCAGACATAAAGAAGCTTCTAATTCACCAGGTTTAAGTCCTGCTAGTTTGGGTGCTTGGTTTTTTTTTTATATTTTATTTGTTTTAGCTGCAGATAAGAAATTCTTTGGGGGTTTTATTTCACCTTCTTTATTAAAGATTCTGTTGCTCTAAGACTTAAAGCATTTTCTACCCAGAAGTCATCTCTCTTTATTATCTGAAACTGCCTGCTTCAATTATTTATTTAATGTATTCATTTATTTATTTGAAGCTACAACTTAAGCACCTAACCCTGGCTCTAGGCACTTCAAGTAGTGTTTTAAGCAGACAAAATATAAATCTACAATATATGCCATATACAATTGACTACCCATAGGGCACATAATAATATTCACCATCTACAATAATAAATCCACAATAGCTCACACATTTACACTAAATTGTTATTGTCTCTAGAAGAATATGAAAGAGAGGGTAGGGAGACATTCAGCTTTCTGAGAAGAATATCAAAATCACGTACTTATAGGCATGTGTCCAGGAAATAGTGAAGTAACAAACTCTGCCTTCACTTAGAGAAAACTCTGATAAGAGGAATTGCCTTTTTAAATCAAGATGGATTTAATGCTGACTGCTTATGCTCTTAATTGTGTAGAAGTGTGAGGTCCAAATTACTGAAAGCTTCATGGATTAAAGCCAATATCTTAATAACACTTGAACAAGCCCTCTGAAACATGCTGTCCTCTTGAGGCAACGTTTCATAAACAAGTAGCTGCAGTTTCATAATGTTTCTCAAAATCAAGACTATAGAGAAAACAGTGAAAGACTTTTGAGGAAGTGAAGACACTGATACAGCTTTAAAAATGTCTTTTCATTTGAGGTCTGGAAGTACTCACTAGAATGAAAGGTACATATATTGCCAATCTACAAGACTCAGTTAAAATGTATTGCTGCAATTTCACTCCCCCAGTAACAAAATATTTGTGACACCATAAATCTGAACTTGTGTTCTTTAACAAAAGAAAAAAAAAAAAAAAAAAAAAAAAAATTATTCAGCCACCTCTTTCAAACATATCACATCACAACTCACAGGTTCTGAATCACCACATTAATGAACAATATTCACTCACCACACCTCAAAGTGTTTTGTGTCTCTGCCTCATACAACACTTTTGGGTTTTTACCTGTTTGTATATGCACTGTTTATATGCAGCCTAATACCAAGCTATGTATCTATTTTCAGTTTTAAATTTATCTTGTTGGGAGCACCATTTCAGCTTTGCAGCAGGTTAACTACAATTGTAGTGTACTCCTCTTTTATGAACACAGTGAAGATGATCATATCAAATCAACTTATTATTAAGGTTCACTTTATTAACACCGAAGGTGCATTAGAGGTGAACATGGGCTCAGTGTAAGTAAAAGATCAAACTGGCATTAAAGATTGTGGAAATCTTCAGGTTATAAATTTAGAAATTTCTAATTTAAACGTGTTTACCTTAAACACACATTTACCTCTGCAGTTCACACACAAACTCAACAACCACAGAACCACAAAATCACAGAATATTCTGAGTTGGAAGGGACCCACAAGGATCATCAAATCCAACTTTTAAATGAATGACACACAGGGATCAAACCCACAACCTGTTTGTGAGCTGCACACAACGGGGAGATACATGAGGACACAGAAGTATAGACAGGACTAAGACCTAGACTGAAGTCTTTCACATTTACACTGTCTCTATATTCAGGAAGCATTAAGAACACGAAAAAAATTAATAGATAGGAAAATGGTTTTATTTACATTATAAATGAATTGCTACAATCAGTACCTACATACAACTTTACATATTCATACCTTCTTGCACTTTTCAGCTTTACAGGAGAGCTTGTGTACATTAAGTGCGTGCAAGATTTGGGTAATTACAGAAATAAGATTTTTATGTTCCACTTTGCATTAAAGCCTTTTCTTCCCTACGTTATTGGAAGATACCTCTGAAAGGCCAGACAAAGCCTGAATGTTGCAAGAGCAGTGTAATATGTGGAACCAAGATCATAGAATTGAGAAATAAATTTAAGTTTGACACAAAGTGGATTGATTTCAGTGTAGTATATAGAATCTCTTTGCATTAAGATTTACAATGAGTATATTTAAGAATGGGGTTAATTTTATATTCATCTTTTCAAGTCAGTGATAACAAAACAAATAGTAAGGGAAGAAAAATAGTTCTGAGTAGCATGTCACGGTTATGTAAAATGGGGCCACCTTCTTGCCTCCTTCTCAGCAAGAATTTGGTATGCAGACACAGACCAAGGATTTTTATGAAGCTCTCGGGTGCTAAGGACATACAGAATTGTTTGGTAGGGTTGGGAGGTCACTTATGACTACACAAAACCATCCTCACTGTGGCAAAACTGAAGAAGCCAGAGGTATGGGATTGCAAGTAAGAAAATTTGCCACAAGTTAAACCTTCAGATATCTGAATTATAAAAGCTATTAATACAGAGACAGAAAAAATATCTTGGGGACTACTGCTCATGGGAGAAGTAGAGCAGGGAGAACAAACTGGAATCTAGCAGAGTGCCACTGCAGAGACACTTGGCAAAAAAGGAAAAGAGAGTTGACTCAGAAACAGCAGGAGAGCACAGTATAGCCTTTTCCTATCTAAAAAATCTTATATACAAGGTAAGTACAAGATGCCTGAAAGCCACCCCCAATCATACAACAAAGGAAGCAGACCACCTGGGTCTTCCTGCAGCCTTCAAAACAGCCTAGAAGACACAGCCAACGTACTGGAAAGTCAGATGACACTGAAAGTTTCTTTTTGAAAATTCAGACAAATTGACCTCCAGGCTGGTGAATGTTTGAGACCTAGTAGTTTTTAGTGCTACCAAATTCTTTACTCTGTCCTTATGAGAAAGGATTATGAAACAAGCAAAAAGACAGCAAATCTGGTTGTGCAGTTTTCTGCAGAAAGGATAGAAAACTTTGAAGGACCTTGGCTCAGACTACTATGCATCTCAGTGCATATTTCATTTTATTTATATGCACATTTTATTGTGCACAGCCCAAACACAGTGAACTATAGAGGAGAAGCTTAACTTAATGCCGAGAATATATAGGTGGCCAAAACAGCAAAAAGGAAAACAGTATGAGAAGGACAATGAAAGAAAAGAATTTTCTGTTGGTCTTGTATTTTTGAGGCAAGCTATAAAAGAAATTATATATAGAAGAATTTTCCCCTCCCCTCTACGGAAATTAGACTTAGTCTGCCTTTAAGGTACTTCAGCAATGACAGTATCTTGGCAAGCCTCATCCTGAGGAAATCTTTGGTCTTGGAATAAAGAAATAGTGAAGCAGATCCATCTAACATGTTATGTCTTTGATGCCAACAGGGACCCTTTGCACAGACTCCAAAAAAGTGATATGTTTCATTCTTTTATACAAATTAAACTACTGCTACTTCAAGTCAAGTTTTTGGGCAGGGTTTTCTTGTCCTGCTGCAAAATGAGATCCATGGTATCTCTCAGGTAACACAGAAAAACACAGCTGGAAGGCAATTGGTTTCACCATTTCCATCTCTAGTACAGTGCTTTAGTATCCTACTGCTGTGAAGTCTCCTTTAGAGTTGAATCCTTCTTACTAGAATTTAAGCCTGTAATATTTTATTTTACCTACAGGTAGAGGGATCCAGTTATTCATTTTCTCTCTGAAGCAGCCTTTCATGTATTTGAACTTGCTGATGTGAGTCTCTCCTTCTACTATTTTAAATATGAACTAAAGAAACCTCTTTTGCTTAATCACATTTCATTATCTGCATTAACGTCCAGAAAACTTGAAGCTAAAATCTATCTTTACTAAGCATCTGCTTGCACTAGATTTCTATGTTAGTTCCCATTGTTGACCTATTAACAAACACTGCAGTTTAGCTGAAGTGTTAGGAGTAATTCAGAAGAATATGGACACCCAAATAAGTAATTTTGGAAAGAAAAACAAAAACAAACCAGAAAAAACAGAAATAAAATTAGCCTAAAAATAATTTTATTAATTAACAGAACTTCAAGGTTTATGTCCCATTCATCTATACAATTTAAAATTTTATAGCCATGTTTTACACATTTTGCTCACCAGAAAAGTTTCTTCACCCTTAATTCCACCTTCTGTTTTCATAATTGTAAAGAAAACGATAAACTGAATCCATTGGTGACTAAATCTGTAGACACTACAGGAGTTTGTTGAGGACCTGGCACTTCTACAGCATCCATAGAACCTGTAAGTGCTCAGCATATGAGCTGTATCACCTTCCAGGTTTTGGGTACCATTGACTAGATACCTGGGGTTTGGGGGGGGTTTTCTGACATGATGAAAAAATCTTTTCATTTTAATTTTTAACTGCTACTTATGTTACATTGTATGGATCATCTGGCTATGGAACAGATAAAACTTCCTCTCATGGCTGTAATTTTTTTCTCTTCTAAAGAATAAAGAATGGGCTAACTTAAAGTGTATTAAACACACCAAGGGATTTTAATCATTCAGATCTTTGCTAGTTTAGTAAGAAAGACTGATCTTAAAAACAATATGTTGACACCAAACTCTTATTAAGAACAAAGAAAACCGATGTATTATCATTAAAGATTAAACAAGAATATTATTAAGATAATCAGAGTTTCAGAGAGATTACTGATTTCTAAGATAGAAGAAAGCTTAGCAACAAATTATTAACTGAATGACAGCACACAGTATAAGCTACAGTACAATTATGTTCTATGAACCTGAAGGCTTAGTAAATCAGTCTAATAAAGCACGGATAAAAACAATTTCATAAATATCTTCAGTAGTGCAGCTGCATATCATTATTATTCATGTATTCCTATTCTTGTTTTAGATTTTATCTGCAAACAGAATTCCTATCTGCAATGAGTAAAACTGATATTTCATAATTT